CTCTCTCTCCCCGTGTCTCTCTCTCTCCCCGTGTCTCTCCCCGTGTCTTTCCCCGTGTGTCTCCCCGTGTCTCTCTCTCCCCGTGTCTCTCTCTCCCCGTGTCTCTCTCCCCGTGTCTCTCTCTCCCCGTGTCTCTCTCTCCCCGTGTCTCTCTCTCTCCCCGTGTCTCTCTCTCCCCGTGTCTCCCCCGTGTCTCTCTCCCCTCGTGTCTCTCTCCCCCCGTGTCTCTCTCTCCCCGTGTCTCTCCCCGTGTCTCTCCCCGTGTCTCTCCCCGTGTCTCTCTCTCCCCGTGTCTCTCTCTCCCCGTGTCTCTCCCCGTGTCTCTCCCCGTGTCTCTCCCCGTGTCTCTCTCTCCCCGTGTCTCTCTCTCCCCGTGTCTCTCTCTCCCCGTGTCTCTCTCTCCCCGTGTCTCTCCCCGTGTCTCCCCGTGTCTCTCTCTCCCCGTGTCTCTCTCTCCCCGTGTCTCTCTCCCCGTGTCTCTCTCTCCCCGTGTCTCTCTCTCTCCCCGTGTCTCTCTCTCCCCGTGTCTCTCTCTCTCCCCGTGTCTCTCTCTCCCCGTGTCTCCCCCGTGTCTCTCTCCCCCCGTGTCTCTCTCCCCGTGTCTCTCTCTCCCCGTGTCTCTCTCCCCGTGTCTCTCTCTCCCCGTGTCTCTCTCTCCCCGTGTCTCTCCCCGTGTCTCCCCGTGTCTCTCTCTCCCCGTGTCTCTCTCTCCCCGTGTCTCTCTCCCCGTGTCTCTCTCTCCCCGTGTCTCTCTCTCCCCGTGTCTCTCCCCGTGTCTCCCCGTGTCTCTCTCTCCCCGTGTCTCTCTCTCCCCGTGTCTCTCTCCCCGTGTCTCTCTCTCCCCGTGTCTCTCTCTCTCCCCGTGTCTCTCTCTCTCCCCGTGTCTCTCTCTCTCCCCGTGTCTCTCTCTCCCCGTGTCTCCCCCGTGTCTCTCTCCCCCCGTGTCTCTCTCCCCGTGTCTCTCTCTCCCCGTGTCTCTCTCCCCGTGTCTCTCTCTATCTCCCCGTGTCTCTCTCTCCCCGTGTCTCTCACCCCGTGTCTCTCTCTCCCCGTGTCTCTCTCTCCCCGTGTCTCTCTCCCCGTGTCTCTCTCTCCCCGTGTCTCTCTCTCTCCCCGTGTCTCTCTCTCCCCGTGTCTCTCTCTCCCCGTGTCTCTCTCTCTCCCCGTGTCTCTCCCCGTGTCTTCCCCGTGTCTCTCCCCGTGTCTCTCTCTCCCCGTGTCTCTCTCTCCCCGTGTCTCTCTCCCCGTGTCTCTCTCTCCCCGTGTCTCTCTCTCCCCGTGTCTCTCTCTCTCCCCGTGTCTCTCTCTCCCCGTGTCTCCCCCGTGTCTCTCTCCCCTCGTGTCTCTCTCCCCCCGTGTCTCTCTCTCCCCGTGTCTCTCCCCGTGTCTCTCCCCGTGTCTCTCCCCGTGTCTCTCTCTCCCCGTGTCTCTCTCTCCCCGTGTCTCTCCCCGTGTCTCTCCCCGTGTCTCTCCCCGTGTCTCTCTCTCCCCGTGTCTCTCTCCCCGTTTTTCTCCCCGTGTGTCTCACCTTAAGAAAGAAAGGCATATAAGAAAGCTTCACCCCCCGTGTCTCTCTCTCCCCGTGTCTCTCTCTCCCCGTGTCTCTCTCTCCCCGTGTCTCTCTCTCCCCGTGTCTCTCCCCGTGTCTCCCCGTGCCTCTCTCTCCCCGTGTCTCTCCCCGTGTCTCCCCGTGTCTCTCTCTCCCCGTGTCTCTCTCTCTCTCCCCGTGTCTCTCTCTCTCCCCGTGTCTCTCTCTCCCCGTGTCTCTCTCTCTCTCCCCATGTCTCTCTCTCCCCGTGACTCTCTCTCCCCGTGTCTCCCCGTGTCTCTCTCCCCGTGTCTCTCTCTCCGTGTCTCTCCCCGTGTCTCTCTCTCTCCGTGTCTCTCTCTCTCTCCCCGTGTCTCTCTCTCCCCGTGTCTCCCTCTCTCCCTGTGTCTCCCCGTGTCTCTCTCTCTCCCCGTGTCTCTCTCTCTCCCCGTGTCTCCCCGTGTCTCTCTCTCTCCCCGTGTCTCTCTCTCCCCGTGTCTCTCTCTCTCCCCGTGTCTCTCTCTCCCGGTGTCTCTCTCTCCCGGTGTCTCTCTCTCCCCGTGTGTCTCTCTCCCCGTGTCTCTCTCTCTCCCCGTGTCTCTCTCTCCCCGTGTCTCTCCCCGTGTCTCTCTCCCCGTGTCTCTCTCTCCCCGTGTCTCTCACCGTGTCTCTCCCCGTGTCTCTCTCCCCGTGTCTCTCTCTCTCCCCGTGTCTCTCTCTCTCCCCGTGTCTCTCTCTCCCTGTGTCTCTCTCTCCCCGTGTCTCTCCCCGTGTCTCTCTCCCCGTGTCTCTCTCTCTCCCCGTGTCTCTCTCTCTCCCCGTGTCTCTCTCTCCCCGTGTCTCTCTCTCCCCGTGTCTCTCCCCGTGTCTCTCTCCGTGTCTCTCTCCCCGTGTCTCTCTCCCCGTGTCTCTCTCTCCCCGTGTCTCTCTCTCCCCGTGTCTCTCCCCGTGTGTCTCACTCTCCCCGTGTATCTCTCTCCCCGTGTCTCTCTCTCTCCCCGTGTCTCTCTCTCCCCGTGTCTCTCCCCGTGTCTCTCTCTCCCCGTGTCTCTCTCTCCCCGTGTCTCTCTCTCTCCCCGTGTCTCTCCCCGTGTCTCTCTCTCTCCGTGTCTCTCTCTCTCCCCGTGTCTCTCTCCGTGTCTCTCTCTCTCCCCGTGTCTCTCCCCGTGTGTCTCCCAGTGTCTCTCCCCGTGTCTCTCTCTCTCCCCGTGTCTCTCTCTCTCCCCGTGTCTCTCCCCGTGTCTCTCTCCCCGTGTCTCTCTCTCCCCGTGTCTCTCCCCGTGTCTCTCCCCGTGTCTCTCTCTCTCCCCGTGTCTCTCTCTCTCTCCCCGTGTCTCTCCCCGTGTCTCTCTCTCTCTCCGTGTCTCTCTCTCTCCCCGTGTCTCTCTCCGTGTCTCTCTCTCTCCCCGTGTCTCTCACCGTGTGTCTCCCAGTGTCTCTCCCCGTGTCTCTCTCTCTCCCCGTGTCTCTCTCTCTCCACGTGTCTCTCCCCGTGTCTCTCTCCCCGTGTCTCTCTCCCCGTGTCTCTCCCCGTGTCTCTCCCCGTGTCTCTCTCTCTCCCCGTGTCTCTCTCTCTCTCCCCGTGTCTCTCCCTCCCCGTGTCTCTCTCTCCCCGTGTCTCTCACCCCGTGTCTCTCTCTCCCCGTGTCTCTCTCTCCCCGTGTCTCTCTCTCTCCCCGTGTCTCTCTCTCCCCGTGTCTCTCCCCATGTCTCTCTCTCCCCGTGTCTCTCTCTCCCCGTGTCTCTCTCTCCCCGTGTCTCTCCCCGTGTCTCTCTCTCTCTCCGTGTCTCTCTCTCTCCACGTGTCTCTCTCCGTGTCTCTCTCTCTCCCCGTGTCTCTCCCCGTGTGTCTCCCAGTGTCTCTCCCCGTGTCTCTCTCTCTCCCCGTGTCTCTTTCTCTCCCCGTGTCTCTCTCCCCGTGTCTCTCTCTCCCCGTGTCTCTCTCCCCGTGTCTCTCCCCGTGTCTCTCCCCGTGTCTCTCTCTCTCCCCGTGTCTCTCTCTCTCCCCGTGTCTCTACCTCCCCGTGTCTCTCTCTCCCCGTGTCTCTCACCCCGTGTCTCTCTCTCCCCGTGTCTCTCTCTCCCCGTGTCTCTCTCTCCCCGTGTCTCTCTCTCCCCGTGTCTCTCTCTCTCCCCGTGTCTCTCCCCGTGTCTCTCTCCGTGTCTCTCTCCGTGTCTCTCCCCGTGTCTCTCCCCGTGTCTCTCTCTCCCCGTGTCTCTCTCTCCCCGTGTCTCTCTCCCCGTGTCTCTCTCTCCCCGTGTCTCTCTCTCCCCGTGTCTCTCTCTCTCCCCGTGTCTCTCTCTCCCCGTGTCTCTCTCTCTCCCCGTGTCTCTCCCCGTGTCTCTCTCTCTCCCCGTGTCTCTCTCCCCGTGTCTCTCTCTATCTCCCCGTGTCTCTCTCTCCCCGTGTCTCTCTCCCCGTGTCTCTCTCTCCCCGTGTCTCTCTCTCCCCTTGTCTCTCTCTCTCCCCGTGTCTCTCTCTCTCCCCGTGTCTCTCTCTCCCCGTGTCTCCCCCGTGTCTCTCTCCCCCCGTGTCTCTCTCCCCGTGTCTCTCTCTCCCCGTGTCTCTCCCCGTGTCTCTCTCTCTCCCCGTGTCTCTCCCCGTGTCTCTCTCTCTCCCCGTGTCTCTCTCCCCGTGTCTCTCTCTCCCCGTGTCTCTCTCTCCCCGTGTCTCTCTCTCCCCGTGTCTCTCTCCCCGTGTCTCTCTCTCCCCGTGTCTCTCTCTCCCCGTGTCTCTCTCTCCCCGTGTCTCTCTCTCTCCCCGTGTCTCTCTCTCCCCGTGTCTCTCTCTCCCCGTGTCTCTCTCTCTCCCCGTGTCTCTCTCTCTCCCCGTGTCTCTCCCCGTGTCTCTCCCCGTGTCTCTCCCCGTGTCTCTCTCTCCCCATGTCTCTCTCTCCCCGTGTCTCTCTCCCAGTGTCTCTCTCTCCCCGTGTCTCTCTCTCCCCGTGTCTCTCTCTCTCCCCGTGTCTCCCCCGTGTCTCTCTCCCCCCGTGTCTCTCTCCCCGTGTCTCTCTCTCCCCGTGTCTCTCCCCGTGTCTCTCCCCGTGTCTCTCTCTCCCCGTGTCTCTCTCTCCCCGTGTCTCTCTCCCCGTGTCTCTCTCCCTCCCCGTGTCTCTCCCCGTGTCTCTCCCCGTGTCTCTCCCCGTGTCTCTCTCTCCCCATGTCTCTCTCTCCCCGTGTCTCTCTCCCCGTGTCTCTCTCTCCCCGTGTCTCTCTCTCCCCGTGTCTCTCTCTCTCCCCGTGTCTCCCCCGTGTCTCTCTCCCCCCGTGTCTCTCTCCCCGTGTCTCTCTCTCCCCGTGTCTCTCCCCGTGTCTCTCCCCGTGTCTCTCTCTCCCCGTGTCTCTCTCTCCCCGTGTCTCTCTCCCCGTGTCTCTCTCTCCCCGTGTCTCTCCCCGTGTCTCTCCCCGTGTCTCTCTCTCCCCGTGTCTCTCTCCCCGTGTCTCTCTCCCCGTCTCTCCCCGTGTGTCTCACCTTAAGAAAGAAAGGCATATAAGAAAGCTTCACCCCCCGTGTCTCCGCTTGCTCTTGGAGTCTGCGCCTCAGAGACACGAGGCGACTTAAGTTCACTTCGTCACTGTAGCCAAAGTGCGGCACGGACAGAGACGCGGACATCGTCCTGGACATCACCTTCTGGACGCCTACACACAGACACACACAGACACACACATAGACATAGACACACACACACAGACACACACAGACACACAGACACACACACAGTGACACACACACAGACACACACACAGACACACACAGATACACACACAGACACACACAGACACACACACATAGATACACACACGTAGATAAACATAGACACACACACATAGACACACAGACACACATAGACACACATAGATACACACACAGATACACACACAGACACACACAGACACACACAGACACACAGACATAGATACACACACAAAGATAAACATAGACAAAGACAAAGACACACAGACACACATAGACACACATAGATACACACACAGATACACACACACAGTGACACACACACACACAGACACATAGACACACAGACACAGTGACACACAGACACACACACACATACACACACACACACAGACACACACACAGACACACACACAGACACACACACAGACACACACAGACACACACAGACACACACACAGACACACACACAGACACACACACAGACACACACAGACACACACACAAACACACACACACAGACATAGATACACACACAGACACACACACACAGACAGACACACACACACACACACATAGACACACAGACACACACACACAGACACATAGACACACACACAGACACATAGACACACATAGACACACACAGACACACAGACACATAGATACACACAGACATAGACACACACACACAGACACACATAGACACACACACAGTGACACAGACACACACACACAGACACAGACACACACACAGACACATAGACCAAGATAGACACACACACATAGACATGCACATAGACACACACAGACACACACACACAGACACACACACACACAGACACACACACACAGACACATACACAGGCACACACAGACACATACACAGGCACACACAGACACACATAGACACACACACTCACACATAGATACTCAAACATAGACACACACACATAGACACACATAGACACACACACACAGACACACAGATACACACAGACACACATACAACAACAACAACCGCCATTCGCCACTAAGTGGCGGTGACGTCACCACGACGCTTGTGCCAGGCTATGTGCACCTTGAGGCCACGTGAAGTGTCGAACGCCCGCTGGCAGGAGGTCACGGGGCAGACCCAGGTGCCACGGGTCGACTGACTGAGATGACTGGCTGATGCACCACCTGTGCCCCCTACTGTGCCAACCTGCTGTGCTTTAGCCACCCGGCGCTCCGCTCGCTGTTGTGAGCGTCGCTCCTCCGCCCTCCGTTGTTGTTGGAGGGCGACTGCCTCCAACTGCCCAGTAGCATCCTTCACGAGCCTCCTCCACAGAGGCCGATCTTGACACCGCTGGTACCGGTCATCGGCAAGTCCACTCAGCTCCACGTCCTCCTGTACCACATCACTCCATCTCTTCTCTAGCCCGTGCCGCGCCCGCTTAGCCCCCTCAATCCGGCCAAACAAAAGCTGTTTCGGCATGCGGTGGCTGGGCATGCGGGCTACATGACCCAGCCATCGCAGCCTTGCCTGCCGGAGGAGCTCACCGATGGGACCCTGCCCAGATCTTTCAAGGATTTGTGAGCTCCTCACACAATCCAGTCTGGTTAAACCCAGGATGGATCGTAGGCAGGTCAGCCTAAATGTTTCTAACCGGCGAAGATGTTCCATTAGGGGGGTCCACGTTTCGCAAGCGTAGAGAAGGGAGGGAATGACCGTGGCCGAGAAGACCTGAAGCTTAGTGCGGAGCGACAGACCAGGTAGCTTCCACACAGCGTTACGCAACCGATGAAAAGATATTGCCGCTCGACTGATTCGGAGTGAGACCTCTGCTGTTAAACTGGAGCCAGTCATAAGCACACTGCCCAGGTATGGGAAACTCTCCACTCTCTCCACAACTGCCCCATCACCGATTGGGAGTTGTGGGGGTGGAGTGTCCGATGGTACAAAATACCCAGGCAGGTGCTTAGTTTTGGTGGGGCTGATGGTAAGGCCCCACCTCTTAGTGGCACGCTCCAGTCTCAGCAGCAGCGTCTCCAACTCCTCCTCTGACTGAGCAGCTATTACCAAGTCATCAGCATACATAACGTGGTTGAGCAATAGGGAGCCATCCCTTGACCGCACCCGGGCATCGATTAGCCTCCCATTATATCTGTACCATATGGAGATTCCCCCGGTACAGCTATTGAAGGCTTCACGAACTACGTGGTCAAAATAGATGTTAAATAATGTGGGAGCCAGAGGACATCCCTGTCGCACCCCAAGGTGTACAGGGAATGGCTCTGACTCCCGGCCACGTAGTTTTACCCGGGCCCGCTCACCATCATGAAGGTCCTTAATGATCGTGAGCAGAGGGTCAGGTACTCCAAAAGCACGAAGAACGACCCAGAGCCCAGGCCTACTGATGGTATCATAGGCCTTGACCAGGTCAATAAAGCAGAGATGTAGGTCTTGTTGGAATTCCCTACACCTCTGCTGTAGCAGACGGACAGAAAATATGGCATCTGTGCAGGACCGCCCTTTCCTGAAACCGCATTGGGGCTCCGCAAGCCTCTCCTCAGCGTGCCTGGCAAGGCGATGCTGAATAATCCTTGCCAGGACCTTTCCCGGCACACTGAGGAGTGAGATGCCCCTGTAGTTGTTACAGTCTGTGCGGTCCCCCTTCTTAAAGAGGGGGACCACCAGGGCATCCTTCCAATCCTGCGGAACCCGTCCAGTGGTCCAGACTGTTGTTATGATGTCATATAGGGCAGTCTGTGCACAAACGCCACCCTCCCTCAGCATTTCGCTTGGGAGATCATCTCTGCCCGCTGCCTTTCCTGGTCTCAGACTCCGGATCGCCTTCAATACTTCCTCAGCAGATGGCACCTCAGCCAGCCACTCACAGGGGGTGACTTCATCCAATATTTGAGGCACACAGACACACAGACACATAGATACACACAGACACACACACACAGTGACACACAGACACAGTGACACACAGACACAGTGACACACACACAGACACATAGACACACATACAGACACACACACAGACACACAGACATAGACACACACACACAGACACACATAGACACACACACAGACACAGACACACACACAGTGACACACACACAGACACAGACACACACACAGACACATAGACCAAGATAGACACACACACATAGACATGCACATAGACACACACAGACACACACAGACACACACACAGACACATACACAGGCACACACAGACACACATAGACACACACACTCACACATAGATACTCAAACATAGACACACACACATAGACACACATAGACACACACACACAGACACACAGATACACACAGACACACATACACACACAGACACACATAGACACACACACTCACACATAGATACTCAAACATAGACACACACACATAGACACACACACATAAACACACTCACACATAGACACACACACATAGACACAGACACACACACAGAGAGAGACAGACAGAGACACAGAGAGAGAGACACAGAGACAGAGAGAGACACAGAGACACAGAGAGACACAGAGAGATGCAGACAGAGACACACAGAGAGACAGACAGAGAGAGAGACACAGAGCGAGAGACACAGACAGAAACAGACAGAGACACAGAGAGAGAGAGAGACAGAGAGAGACACAGAGAGATGCAGAGAGACACAGAGAGACACAGAGACAGAAAGACAGAGAGAGACAGAGAGAGACAGACAGAGAGACAGAGAGAGAGACAGACAGACACAGAGACAGAGACACAGAGAGACACAGAGAGACACAGAGACAGACACAGAGAGAGACAGAGAGACACAGAGAGAGACACAGAGAGACACAGACAGAGACACAGAGACACAGAGACACAGACAGAGACAGACACAGAGAGAGACACAGAGACATACACAGAGAGACAGACAGACAGAGACACACAGAGACACAGAGAGACACAGAGACAGACAGAGACAGAGAGAGACACAGAGAGACAGAGAGAGACACAGACAGAGACAGACAGAGACAGACAGAGACACACAGAGACACACAGAGAGACACAGAGAGACAGACAGAGAGAGAGACACAGAGAGACAGAGAGACAGAGAGAGACACAGAGAGACACACAGACAGAGACACACAGAGACACACGGAGAGACACAGAGAGACAGAGAGAGACACACAGAGACACACAGAGACACACAGAGAGACACAGAGAGACACAGACACACAGAGACACAGAGAGACAGACAGAGACACAGAGAGACACACAGACAGAGACACACAGAGACACAGAGACACACAGAGACACACACAGAGACACAAACACACAGAGACACACAGAGACTCACAGAGACACACAGAGACACACAGAGACACACAGAGACACAGAGAGACACACAGAGAGACACAGAGACACACACAGAGACACACAGACACACACAGAGACACACACAGAGACACCACTCACCCTTGATAATAACAGTGCGGTCCTCTGTAAATCTTCGCACCAGAGGTCGTGGTGGTGGTGACGATGGTGGTGCTGGTGGTGGTGCTGGTGATGCTGGTGGTGGTGATGATGATGGTGATGGTGGTGATGATGGTGATGGTGGTGATGGTGGGATCATGGCTCCCGTCTGTTGAGAGAGATAGTGCAAGATGTCTTCTTTGAGAACTCGCCCATCACGGCCAGATCCACGAACCTCACCGAGATCCACCTGGAGGGGAAGGTGGAGAGAGACACGGGGTGAGAGAGAGAGACACGGGGAGAGAGAGACACGGGGTGTGAGAGAGACACGGGGAGAGAGAGAGACACGGGGAGACACGGGGAGAGAGAGACACGGGGAGAGAGAGACACGGGGAGAGAGAGACACGGTGAGAGAGAGACACGGGGAGAGAGACACGGGGAGACACGGGGAGAGAGACACGGGGAGACACGGGGAGAGAGACACGGGGAGACACGGGGAGAGAGAGACACGGGGTGAGAGAGACACGGGGAGAGAGAGAGACACGGGCAGTTAAGGGGTAGTTAAGGGGTAGTTAAGGGGGGGGTTAAGGGGTGGATAAGGGGTAGTTAAGGGGTGGATAAGGGGTAGTTAAGGGGTAGTTAAGGGGTGGTTAAGGCGTAGTTGAGGGGTAGTTGAGGGGTAGTTAAGGGGTAGTTAAGGGGCAGTTAAGGGGTAGTTAAGGGGTAGCTAAGGGGTGGTTAAGGGGTAGTTAAGGGGTAGTTAAGGGGTGGTTAAGGGGTAGTTAATGGGCAGTTAAGGGGTAGCTAAGGGGTAGTTAAGGGGTTGTTAAGGGGTTGTTAAAGGGTAGTTAAGGGGTAGTTAAGGGGTAGCTAAGGGGTAGTTAAGGGGTGGTTAAGGGGTGGTTAAGGCGTAGTTAAGGGGTAGTTAAGGGGCAGTTAACGGGTTGTTAAGGGGTAGTTAAGGGGTAGCTAAGGGGTAGCTAAGGGGTAGTTAATGGGTAGTTAATGGGTAGTTAAGGGGTGGTTAAGGGGTAGTTAAGGGGCAGTCAAGGGGTAGTTAAGGGGTAGTTAAGGGGTGGTTAAGGGGTAGTTAAGGGGTAGTTAAGGGGTAGTTAAGGGGTAGCTAAGGGGTAGTTAAGGGGTAGCTAAGGGGTAGCTAAGGGGTAGTTAAGGGGTAGTTAAGGGGTGGTTAAGGGGTAGTTAAGGGGTAGTTAAGGGGTGGTTAAGGGGTAGTTAAGGGGCAGTTAAGGGGTAGCTAAGGGGTAGCTAAGGGGTAGCTAAGGGGTAGTTAAGGGGTGGTTAAGGGGTAGTTAAGGGGCAGTCAAGGGGTAGTTAAGGGGTAGTTAAGGGGTGGTTAAGGGGTAGTTAAGGGGTAGTTAAGGGGTAGCTAAGGGGTAGTTAAGGGGCAGTTAAGGCGTAGTTAAGGGGTA